GTGCGACCATGCATGGCAGCGGTGGGTGCAGACGGCGAAGGCGTCGGAGACGTCGGCGTCGACTGAAGGGGGACGACACCGCTGCGGCAATGAGTGTCTCCACCGACAGTGACGGGCGGTCGACAGGGGCCGCCCAAACGGCATTGGACTTCACCTCAATCGCTGGAATTGAGGCAAGGGAATTGAGGCAAGGCACGGTGGGCTGACCAACGCGACGGGCATGGTTGAACCCGACCCAGTTGACGCTCACGTTGTACCCGGGCGCCACGCAGGATCGCGACATCTCGGAGGATCCAATGGTTGAGGAGTTCGCAGCCTCGCTCGTCGGCAGTCATATCGTCGCGTGGCCTTCCCTTGAGCACCTCCCGTCAACTTCGGCGACCCCCTAGCTTCCGGATGAGGCACCGTCGGTGGCGGCCCCCCAGCTGGAGGATGCGGTAGCCTCCTGTGTGCTACGGACACCACCCCCATGCCCCATTCCGTGGGCAGTGGACTCGCCGAAGACACACGTGGTCGACCTCACGGTGGATGGCCCTTCCAGTTCACCACCAGTGGTTACCCACCAGGCTGTGGACAACGACGACTCCGCCAAACAACGCCTCGAGAGCTTCATCAATAATGTCACGCGTAAGAGGGACTCTCCACTGATTCACGAGCCTCCCAAATAGCCTCCTGCTAAGTCAATACTGCCGTGGCGGAGCAGGCGGTTAGCGGCTCAGAGCCTCTCCCGAGTGCCAGCTTCCAAGCGAGGTGAGGTGCTGATCATGCAGCGTATGGGCTACACCAGGGATCCATCTGCGCCATCCGTTTCGGAGTTGGAGGCCTTTGACAGGCTCTTCGACGGCAACCCGACTGCGTCCGAAGCCGAGGCGCTGGACGAGCTCTTCCCGGCCGTTGGAAAGGCACCGTCCAGGCAGCCGCGAAGACGCGAGGCCACCTAGGCCACAAAGCTGCGTCGATATTTGTTGTTTCCTTTTATGTAATATCGAAACATGAGGTCTTTTGCTAGGATGGTCCAGCTTCTGCTGTGTTAGGTCGACCTCCTTCGGCGCTCGATAGAAGCGCGTCATATGTTTCTTTAAACTCTTCTCCTTAATACAATGATACACAAATCTTTTGCGTATTTGAGAAAAAAAAGTTTGAGTGCAAGATTGATGGGTCAAAGTTAATGTGCGTGGATGCATGCTACCTTCTAGTATATATCATGCATCCGAAATTTGACTCAATTGTTGTTAGAGATACACCGGGTAAATTTCTTCTATTTGGCAATTGCGGTTTAGCCGTGCTAGTGTAGAATAAGCCTAGCTAGTTGTTTATTGATTGTAAAGAAGGTTTGCATTTATTAGCTACTCAATAGTATGGGCCAATGGCTTGATTGTCTTATTAGGTCCTATTTATTTGTAAGGAATTTGTTTGCTTCTCAAAATAGTTCTGGCTTCTAGCTACAAATCTTTATACACTGTCCAAAAGAAGCCGTTTTTCTTTATCTTTACAGAATTAACAGAAAAGTGAAGCACCGACATCAGCTCCTAGCATAAAGCTAGCCAAAATCATAAGAACACTCACAAACATGTCTTCTTTAGATTGTGATATGGATTATTTGTCATGCGGTTTGCTTGCCTATCAACTCAAAGGCTATTTCCTTATATGAAGAGAAAAAACAAATCTAAGCTTACTTTATTTGTCACACCTTAGTGTAGTGTCTACAGATCTACTATAAGCCATCTTTAATCTACTTCCTCCATCCTGAAATACAAGACATCACAAGAATTTTAGAATCAAATAAAGAGTCTCGCCGAAGACTATAGTTAGCTAACTTGTCTCACTAATTAATTAGTTTGGTTGTTAATCTACTTAATTTTTTAGTAAGACATAATTTAAAGAGGCAAACATGCATGTCATTGATTTTGTTAATAAATTACACGAGTCATTTTGGACAAAATAGTGTTTTAAAGCCATGTATAGATACATGCATGGGTGTGTTTAAAAGACAAACATGCACGGATGAGGTTGAACAATCTAAAATACCTTATAATTTAGAACAAATTAAATTTTAAACCTATATCTTGTATTTTAGTGCAGAGAGAGTAATATAATAAAATCTCATTCCACATTTTGATTGCAAAAAATAAATGAAAAGTTCAAATAGAATCTTCTGGAAGAGGTAGGTTCCAAAAGAGGAATGTCCCATGTATACAACATCCCGGAAAACGATATACAGCAGCTCGCCATACATACACACACAAGAAAACAAGCACAAATATAGAAAGATATAATCGCTACATTGCATTAAACGGAGACTTCATTGTTCAAAAATTTAAATGGAGACCTCACAGCATCACTCGAGGACTTTGAACAGCAGCAATGGTGCACTTATATATAGTTATATAGCCCCTAGGAGAACACCAGCAATGCCGGAGTAGTCAGACTTCCACATCTGATAAATCAGTTTTTGTGCCCACAATGGTGCCGGGTGTGTGGCACACGGAGGCTGAGCCTAAATTCCCTTGCAAAAGCTTAATGATCACCCTCACAAGACAATGACTTTCAGACGATGGATTCAAAGCTTCTACATTGACAATGGTGCACTTTGAAAGCCTTCTATCCATGAATGCTTCTGAGTTTAGTTTTCGCCTTGAATAGAGATACTCACAAAACTGAACACACTTTAAGGAGAGTTCCTTTGCTGTGCGACCAAACATGTCCTCCGCAACCTCTTGCGAAGTATGGAGTAGTAGCATAAATCTCACCCGTCGAATCCTCTAGCTGAATGAAGATCCTGAACCTACAATCACAAGTTACAAAGGTCATGTTGCATCTGTTGCAGTGCCACCACCCAGAGAACCATTGCTGGTGACCCTGCAGCATTGGCTACCATTCAACACCGAAGGCCATGCTACATAACAGAAACTCTGGGTGTTTGTAATTGAAAGAGTTGCTTTAACAGTGATCCACACTGGCTTAACCAGGGATCCCAAGACATCTGTGATTTCTGAAACAGTTTCCCAAGCAATTTCTGCTGCCATGCCTTGATTAACAGAGGTCGAGGCTGAACCTTCCTGTAGGAGCATGCCTATCTCACTCAGAAGATGACAACTTTCAGTCAATGGATTCAGCCTTTCAGCCGGATGATGCATTTGGCGAGCTTTTCATCATTGATTTATCTCTCCTTCAGCCTTCAGTTTGAATGGATACCCATGAGTCACGAAAGAGTGCACTCTGAATGGTACCATCAAATTGTGCATGGTCTCGTCTTTCATGTTTCAAGAAGACAAGAAGTGGAGCTCCTTGGCTTTGCAACCAAATATCTCCTCACCAGCACAACAACATAGCCTCATAGGCCATACCTGTTGCATCCTGTATCTGAACAAGAATCATGTACCTATAATCACCCCTTACACAGGACTGGTTGCATCTGTTGCAATGCCAACACCCATCACCATTACTGTCAACCTTCATGTTGCATTGCCTACCATTCACTGCCAGTCGGCAAACGGTACAACAGAAATTCTAGTGTTTATATATGAGAGAGTAGCTTTAACAATAACCAAGTCTCGTTAGCCGGGCATCCAAAGTTTCCATTGTTTAATTGAGAAACTGTTCTCCTTGCAACTTCTGTCTCTGAAGCAAAACAAGGACCTACCATGTAATCGCCCTGTCCGTGACCATCACATGTTAAGTTTTGCACCATTCTCCGTTGCTGTGCAACAAGACCAAACACCTTGTCCATACTCATAGGGTTTGGGACTTCCAATTATTGTGCTCACAGTTTGAAGAATTTCAAGTGGATAGATACGTAGACCCTGAATAAAGAATTCAAGAAATGAAAGGAGAAGAAAGAATTGTCAATTCAATTTTCAAGCTGCATTGAATAACACTTCCCTCAAAGACATGAAATGAAATACAAAATGTAATCATGATGCATATGCAGTTAGCTCCACAATCAGACGTGTTCTGGCCCTAAGTAACATGAGCTATGGAAATAACAACAAGAACAAACAAACAAAAAACACTACTGCCACTCACTCAAATGGTACTGAGCTGAAGACCACAGAATTATTTTCAAGCTTTTAAACAAACAACAGAAAATTAGCTAGAAGATAAGCACCACAACAATTTACGGGAATACACAGGAGAATTGCTATTTGATGTATAGGAGCTAAAATTAGATGCTACAGACGACCATAGCATGATAGGAAAGGGGCAGATCCATCATTAAATACGAAAAATAAACACTAAACAACCAATTGAAACTATCCAGCCAAACAACAACAATAATCTTATTTAATCACAGGCCTACATTTATCTAAAGTATCTTAAAAAAAGGATGAAGTTTATGATAAAGACACGCCAAAATTTAACCCACCAGTTTGAATGTGACTCAACAGTCAATACCAGAAGTCTAAAAGTAGCAAGCATGGTTACTACAGTCTGTAGAATCAACATCGATAATGTCATGAAGCAAGAAACCCGTTCAAGGAAATAGGTGGTTGTCCAAAAAAAAGGCAGAGCTGCTGGTATTTGTTCAACAGAGAAACAAGTGCTTAGAAGTTAGAACTATCTTTGGTTGACCAAAAAGGCAGAGTTATAGCTTCTGTTATTTGTTGTTCTTCAGAGTTTTCATTACAATGAACAGAAAGACTGAAACTATACATGAGCGCCCGAAATATACTTGTCCAGAACACGTACGTTACCAAAATAAGCTGGTCTAAAGGCAACATCTTTTCATTAAATTTGCAGCATAGGCCAATTTCTCTCTCGAAGAACTGTACGCGGCAGTACTGAATCAACTATGTTCAAGACTGCAGTTCCTACTCCTAACGGAGCTGGAGAAAAGGCCCAATTACAAGAGAAAAAGGAAAGAGACCCCCGAACACTTGTGGGGATACACGCTATGGTACGATGTTTGATGCAAACGCCCTCACACATAGTGGCCAACCAACGTAGCACGAAATGGACAAGGGAATCTCGCGGGGGCGATTCTTCACCTGCGGTTGCCGATGGTGTTGGCTGTTGCAGACGAAGTCGAGGACCCGGAGCACGGTGCCGCGGCGGAGCGCGCCGTCCGCGACGAGGTGGTTCAGATCGGAGACGAGCGCGCCCTCCAGGCATTGGGCACCGTCGGAGAGCACCCGCATGCACCGCGAAGTGGCGGTCAGTCACTCTCCGCGTCCACCGCGGCAGCATCTGCACGTCCGCCACCTTTAGCACCGGGCGGAGCCCCCGCGCCGGCAGCTGCTCCGGCATCAGCGCCACCGCCCCACGCGACAGGTCCACCCCCATCTCCATGCCGAAGAGGGGCCTCGTGGAAGGTTCCTGGAGCAAGCAATCGGATGTTGGCTGTTGGGGAGGGTAGGGAGCAGTGGAGTGCTTGAAATTTGAATGTTAGGGCGGGAAGGAGAAAACTAGAAAGCGCGTTTGGGCGCCAAATGGACATGGGCCATGTTTTTGAGTCGGACCGGCCCAAAATAAAAGTTGCTCCGTTCTGGTGTTCTCCTAGGGGCGAAGGTTTCTTATAGTAACTCCAGTTCAAGCATTTATATCGCAAAGTCTTTTAAGCGACCGGTCGCGCGCCGCGTTGGGCTGGCCCAGCAAAACCCCGGCCCCCCTCCGCGCCGTGCACGTGCTGCTGCTCTGCTCCCGCCGGCCGCTCCCCTCCGCGCCGGGCTCTGCTCTGCTCCTGCCGGCCGCTGTCCATTCCGGTGGCTGGGCGACAGCCTGATCTTGGGGATGGGGCGAGGCGAGGCGACGGCGCCACAGCCACCTTCTCGGCAACAGGTTCACCTGCTCCAGGGCCATGCTCTTGACGTCGCCCGGGTAGTTTTGGTGGCAGCCGATGCGCGCGCCCGTGGGCGTCGACCACTTGAACGACGGCCGGCTGGCCATCATCATCTTCGGCGGCTCCACGTCCGCGACGGCGTCCGTGGCCGCGTCCTCCTCCTTCACGATGTCCACCGCGGGCAGCTCCACCACCGGTCGTGGCTCCTCCACGGCCTCAGCGTGTTTTTTCAGCGGCTTCTTCGGTTGCCACTGGGGCCTCCTCTGCTGCTTGCTGCTCTTCTGGAGCCGCCGCCGGCTTCTTGAACGACGGGTACTCGTCGTCGTCCACGGAGCATCGCTGATGACAAACATTTTATCAGCCAACAACCCATCCTTTTTTTGGCAATCAATCACTGAGACAGACGACGATGAAGACTGATGAATGACACACTGCAGGTTCATTCATTCGTTGCGTCTTCGTCCTGCTCCATCAGCTTTTAATTTCAGTTTTTAATTTCATTTTTTGCAATTTCATTTTGTAATTTCAGTTTTGCAATTTCAGTTATTAATTTCAGTTTCACAATTTCAGTTTGTAATTTCAGTTTTCAATTTTATTTTGTAATTTTAGTTTTGCATTTTCACTTTGTAATTTCAGTATGTAATTTCAATTTTTTTTATTTTTGCAATTTCAGTTTGTAATTTTAGTTATTTTAGTTTTGTTTTCATTTTTTGCATTCATGTGTTTGAGTGCGGAGAGTAGCGGCCAATCTGCAGGGAGAAGTAGCAAATCGGTGGAGAGGAGGAGCAAATTTGGATAGATGGAGCGGGGGTGGTTACCGGCAGATTCGAGCGGAAAAGGAGGAGCATATTCGAGCTAGTTGTGCTTGTTCTAATAATTTGCGCATATGTTGCAGCTTATCTTAATTTGTGCTGCCACCCACTTTTTTAATAAATGCCCTTAGTTGGCAGCAAGTCATGTGTCCTGGCTTTTGAAATATGTTGTATAATAACTTGCCTACCCTAGTTGGCAACTTATGTAATGTTTATTTTAATAATCCCCCCAGTTGTACAACTATAGTATTACATGGTAGTAACTCATTTGATATTTTTTTGCCCCAAGCTGGTGAATACTATGTAATAACTTTAGTATATTTTTAGAGTAGCAACTTTAGTATTACATGGTAGTAACTCCTTTTGATATTTATTATATTACCGTAATAACAACCGATGTGCATACTATGTAACAAATTTAGTATATTTTGGAGTAGCAACTTTAATATTATATGGTAGTAACTCCTTTGTAAATCTCCTAGCACGTATTACATGTAAATTGCTACAAAAAAAAATTTTTTGAAAAATATGCAAGTTAGGTCTAATTTTGTTGATCTCGTTACGCGGAACACACCGGTGCAGACAAAATTAAAAACGAATACACGATTCAAAAGTTATAGCAATTAAAAAAATGTTTTGCTTTTTTCGAGTTGCGTGCGCATACAGTGGCAAATGGAAGTGGGTCACAACTCACACGCGGGGGGAGCTCAGTCACGCCTGGGGACTGGTCCGCCGAATTTTTTATTTTTTAGCCTTTTTTGAAAATTTTTCACAAATATATCCTGTAGGTATGATTTCAAAATCTAGACCCTTAACTCGGCGCCATCGATGGTGGCGCCGAGCTTACACGTCTCGGCGCCATACATTATGGCGCCGAGCTCGGGGCCACATTGGCGACGTGGACGCTAACATGGCAGCCAGCTCGGCGTCGTGGATCTTGACGCCGAGTTCAGCGCCAACAATCCTAGCGCCAAGCCTCTCTTACGTATGGGCCCTCCCTTTCTTTCTCTCTTTCTCTCTACCGAGCCATCACCGCTGCCGCACCGTCCACGCCCACGCCCGCGTCGACCGTCCTCGCCCACGTCGTGGATGTGGGTCCACTGCCTCAGTGACTGGGACCAGGCGTGTCAGTACAGCTGGGTCTCTGTAGTCTTGGGTTTTCTTTACCGGCAGCTTTGCGAAGCGTGTCGTCAGACTTCGTCCACAGCGTCACTTGGTGGATGCGTGTATCTGCTCCAGTTGTGGATGTGGGCTCGTCTACCAGTTGTTCGTCCCGAGGTTCTGGCTCATCATGAGTGGTTCCCAGGTCAGCCTCCACGTCGGCAGCTGACGTGGGCGTACCTTTAGGACAAGGTTAGGGTTTCCGCACACGTGGTTACAGCGGACGTACATTGAGTTCACGAACGAGCTAGACACGCTCACGACGTCTAGTGTAAGTAAATTTTATTACCCATGCTGGTTTGAAATGGTTTAGTATAGCATCTAACATCTTGTTTGGACATGTTGCAGGTGTCATGGGAGCCGTATGATGGAGAGGGGGCACTTCCTTTTCAGTTGAGCAACATGTGTGGGTACGACAACGACTTCTATAGGATGAGGTGCCCTCTAATCTATTTCTATGATGTCGAGTTCCACCTGCCAGATAGAGTTGCACGTCAATTTGGAGTGAGACGGCTTTGGCCAACGGCTCCGTTCTCGACTGGCATTGACTTACACAAGTAAGTGTTTTTCTATTTCAATTGTCTCGTGATGGTTCATTTCCATTAATATGGTGACATGTACATGGATTTAAGTAATGATGACATACGTGCAGGTTGGATCATCAGAGGAACAGAAAGATTTTTGACTGGGAGAAGCACCACTAGTACTACATTGAGTAATGGGAGCTGTTGCACGACAACGTGGACGAGAACAACGAGCCGCACACGAACCGTGAGTTCAGACGCTACCAAGCTTGGTACCAACGTGCGACACATTGCAAGCTGAGGCTACAATGGACAGAAGATGACTACGCCGACATCGATTCCTCCGACGATGAAGACACGGCGTACGACCAATCTACTCGTGCAGGAAGGCAGGTGGAGGAAGGACCAATCTTAGACAGAGTGGTAAGTCAATTGCTTTATTTTTTACGTTAAGTTGCATACCAGTATATTATGCGTTAGAGATATCTATTTTAGTTAGTGCCACCTTCGAGCCGTATGAAAGGTCCTAATATGGCTAGAGGGGGTGAATAACCTATTTAAAAATCTACAAATCAACTAGAGCAATTTGATTAGTATAACAAATATCTAAATGCAAACTTGCTCTAGCTCCAAAAGGGTTGCAAGCCACCTATCCAACAATTCTAGTTTCTATGATCACTAAACACATAATTTACTAAGTCACTACTCACTAAGATCTCTCACACTTGCTACACTAAAGAGCTCCACTAAATGAACTTACACTACAAAGCAAGCTGTCAATTCTAGCTATACTAAAGAGCTTGCTACAACTAGTTTGCAAGAATATAAATGAGTGAGTAGGGTGATTATACCGTCGTGTAGAGGAGTGAACCAATTATAAGATGAACACTAAATCAATCACCGGGAGAATACCAAAGGGTAAGAGACAACCATTTTTTTTTCCGAGGTTCACGTGCTTACCGATACGCTAGTCCCCGTTGTGTTGACCAACACTTGGTAGTTCGGCGGCTAAGAGGTGTTGCACGAACCTTGTCCACACAATTGGACACCGCAAGAACCTATTCACAAGTGAGGTAACTCAATGACATAAGCAATCCACTAGAGTTACCTTTCGGCGCTCTGTCGGGGAAGGCACAAGACCCCTCACAATCACCGCGATCAGAGCCGAAGACAATCACCAACCTCCGCTCGACGATCCTCGCTGCTCCAAGTCATCTAGGTGGCGGCAACCATCAAGAGAACACAAGTGAATCCTACAGCGAAACACGAATACCAAGTGCCTCTAGATGTAATCACTCAAGTAATGCACTTAGATTCTCTCCCAATCTCACAAAGATGATGAATCAATGATGAAGATGAGTGGGAGGGCTTTAGCTAAGCTCACAAGGTTGCTATGTCAATGCAAATGGCCAAGAGAGTGAGCTTGAGCTGGCCATGGGGCTTAAATAGAGAGCCCCCACGAATAGAGCTATTGGCTCTCTGTTTCCCAAGAAGTCGGGGCGACCGAACGCGCCGGTCAAATCAACCGGACGCAGGACCCCAGCGTCCGGTCGCACGATGCATGCCATGTGGCCCCTGCTTCAAATGCTGATCGTCCAATCTCAACGGTCATCAGTATATTTAAGTTATGACTGGACGCGCTGCTCAAAGTGACCGGACGCAGGACCCCAGCGTCCGATAATTTCCAGTAAGGTTCCACTCGCAATCGGCCGCGTCCGGTCACCACCGACCAGACTCACCCAGCGTCCGGTCACTCACTGTCTCCTCTGTGCGCTGCCACATCAGCACGACCGGACGCTGAACAGTGTTCAGCCTGCGTCCGATCAAGAGACCGAGGGTGGCCTTCACTGCGCGCCACTGACCAGACGCAGGACTAGCATCTAGTCACTATGTTACCAGCATCCGGTGCACTTTGTAAACCCTGTCTTTTCTGTACAGGGCGCCGGTGGCACCGTCCGACTGTCCGCACTCTACGGGCGGACACTCTGCTGGTGAAGTTTCTTACCCTTGCTCCCAAGTGCTAAACACAATGTGTATCACCTTTGTGCATGTGTGTTAGCATATGTTCACAATCATTTTCAAAGGTGTTAGCACTCCAC